CTCTCTCTCTCTCTCTCTCTCTCTCTCTCTCTCTTTCTCTCTCATACTTTTAAACAAAGTTTACGTGCGTGCACGTTTGTAGTATGAGTTCGCGTATGTATGTGTTCGCGTGTGTGTGTGTGTGTGTGTGTGTGTGTGTTTGTGTGTGTGTGTGTGTGTGTGCGTGTGTGTGTGTGTGTGCTCGCGTGCGTGAGGGTATTCACAGACGCGTGTTTAATCGATGTGGAAGGCCAGAAAGAAAATAATTAAATAATAGCAGAAAAGAAAAAGCGGACCATTACAACCACCTAAATGTAAGAAGGGTAGGAATGTTGTAATTGTCGTTATAATTACAATAGTGTCCTGTTAGTGTTTGTGTGCTCGTGTGCCGGGGTGTGTTTGCGGGTGAGTTGTATACAATACGGGGAGACCATTGCGGATGGGATCGGGTCGGGTGTTGGGTCGGGGGCGATTGCCCCACTCCACTCGTCGCCTGAGAACAAACGCGTTTGTTTTTTGAGGCGACAAGTCGGGCGCGATCAGCTTGAGCAACGATAGCCACTTTGAGCCCCCAATCTGGGTAGCAAACCGCCCCGACCAGACTCGATCCCCCTATGGACACCCCTTACCCCCCGGGGTGGTGCTACTGACTGAAGTGTCTTTAGCTGAGGCCGTTCCCAAAGCAGGGGGGGTATTAACATGTTTTTATGCTCAGTAGAATTGTAAATGGGCTGATTCATCAATGTTATGCTCATAACTGTGCCAGAATTGCATACGTGGAACTGCTGAAGTTTCTTTCCTCGTCTATACTATCGTCATTTTTCCTCTACTTCTTTTGCATGTTAGTCACTCTCTTGTGACCCGCTATTTCCGGGGTGCCTTGATAGTCGAAGCAGACCGTGCTGTTGAAGCTAGAGAGGTGAGCAGAGTAAACCTGATTCCCTGAATTGGCTTCTCTGTTGACATCCACCCCTTGGCGCTCATATAACCTAATGCAGTTGCGAGCGCCGTGAAAACTCTATCTATATATTCTAATGGGCACCCCGTAAAAGGATTAAGAAAGAGAGAGAGAGAGAGAGAGAGAGAGAGAGAGAGAGAGAGAGGGAGGGAGGGAGAGAAATTAGAGAGATTAAAAAGAGGAGGGTGAGAGCGGGCGCAAGTGTGCGCCTGAATGTGTGTGTGTGTGTGTGTGTGTGTGTGTGTGTGTGTGTGTGTG